GCTCATGGTAGAGGAGCCCCTTGGTGAACACGGCAATGGCCTCACTATCGCTAATGTTGGGGATGGAGTTTCTCATCTCCAAGAAGCACCTAATGAAGCTGCGTAGGCGCTCCCTAGAGGTCTGATGAAGCTTTTCCAAGTCATACTTGGTGCCTAGCTGCTCACAGGTGGCCATGTAGTTCTCAGTGAAGACCTTCTTGATGTCATCCCCAGATCGGATGGAGTCCTCCCGTAGGCTGAGGAGCCAGTTGTTCGCAGAATGGTTGAGCATGACGGGTGAATAATATGCCATCACATCTTTGCTTCCACCTGCGGCTCTCATGGTGATCTCATAGAGCGTTAACCATTGCGCAGGGTTGGCCTTGGCATCGTAGGTGTCCACCCAAAAAATCTTGAAGCCCACAGGCCACCAGACAGCTCGGAGTCTTGCCATGAAAGGACGGAGTCCGACGGCACCGGGGACGGGTGGTGCTCAGGCGGCACCGGGTGCTCCATGCTCGGAGTTGAACTGGCGCCGCCATTCCATCTCCGTGCATAGCCCGCGGCTGAAAGCTCTAGTTTGGTTTTGGTGAATTGATGAAACCCTAAGTGCTAACCTAGTTTATCAAAGTAATTATGAGATAGGTAGCACTACTCCATTTGATGAAGCAAATGAAGATCATGACATGATGATGGTGATGGCATGGTGATGATCAAATGCTTGGACTTAGAAAAGAAGAAAGAAAAACAAAAAGCTCAAGGCAAAGGTGAAACTTGATAGGAGCTTTTTTGTTTTGGTGATCGAGACACTTAGTGAGTATGATCACATTTAGGATCGATAGCCGTACCATTAAGAGGGTTGAAACTCATATCGAAATGCAGTTATCAAAGTGCCACAAGATGCTCTAACTCATTGCATATGCATTTAGGATCTAGTGGAGTATTAACAACCTTGAAAACATTTGTGAAAATATGCTAACACATTGGCACATTTGAGCAAGGGTAAAGAAGATAGAGTTGAAAAGGAGTTGAATGCGCTGGTCACGGGGTGATCGAACGCGTCTGATGTGAGGACCGGACGCGTTTGGTATCTTCCTGACGTGACCGGACGTGTCCGATATCCATACTGAACGCGTCCGATATTCTGGCTAGGCGCAATAGAATTGACGAGGTGATCGGACTCTGGGTCATAGCAGTGACCGGACGCTGAGCAATCAGTGTTTAGCATCCGGTCGAGGTGACGTGCGGCACGGGTGTTGGTCTAGAGAGGACCGGACGCTGGGGTGCATCTGGTCGGCCACACCGGATGTGTCCGGTCGCAGTTGAGCGGCTCTGGGAGCTCTCTGGACTCAACCGGACGTAGCGACCAGACGCGTCCGATCGCCACACCGGACACGTCCGGTGTGAACTAGCAAGACTCGGGTTTTCAGTGCTATAATTGGTCGGATGCTAGGAGTGTCCGGTCCGGTGTGACCGGACGTGTCCGGTTGACCCAGAGCGGCTCTAGGAGCTCTCTGGACTCGATCGGACGCTGTATCTCCCGCATCCAGTCGATTTCTAATGATGCGTCCAATCACTAGTTTTACTGTGCGCAGAGATAGCCGTTGGGTGCGATTGGCTAAACAATTTGAAAGGGACACATGGCGGTCTGGTTGTGACTAGACACAGCGACCGAACGCGTCTGGTCACCACACCGGACGTGTCTCGGTGCACACGACCGGTGCGTCCGGTCGTCCCGCAGTCAGCCCAATAATTGAGTCAATGGCTCTATTATTTGGGGGTGTCTATAAATATCGTTTGGCCAGCTCTAGCTCACTCTCTTGGTCATTTGCATTGACATAGCAACCTTGTGAGCTTAGCCAAAGCCCTCCCACTCATCTTCATCATTGATTCATTATCTTTGTGCGATTGGGAGAGAATCCAAGTGCATTGCTTGAGTGATTGCATCTAGAGGCACTTGGTGTTCGTGTTTCGCTGTGGGATTCGCTTGTTACTCTTGGTGGTTGCTACCTCCTAGATAGCTTGGAGCAGCGAGGATCGTCGAGCGGAGGTTGGTGATTGTTTACGGCTCCGATCATGGTGATTGTGAGGGGTTCTTGACCTTTCCCTGGCGGAGAGCCAAAAGATACTCTAGTAAATTGCTCGTGGCTTGTGTGATCCTCATCTTGTGTTGGTTGTGCGGCACCCTATTGAGGGTTTGGCGTGTGATGCCAATTAGCGTGTGAACCTCTAAGTGAGTGAATCGCCACAACAAGGACCAGTTTACCGGCAAGTAAGTGAACCTCGATAAAAAATCATTGTGTCATCATTTGATTCCGAGGTAATTGGTCTTCATTGGTATTTATTATTGTGATTGATTGGTTCATTCATCGACTCGGCGGTATAACCAACTTGCTCTCTCTTTTTACATTACCGCAAACTAGTTGTCAAGCTCTTTAGTGTAGCTAGTCGTGAGAGCTTATTAGTTTGGTTAGTGTGGCTCTTTAGTTAGCCTTTGAGAGCACACTAACTTAGTGTAGTGACATAATAATTGTGTGGATAAAGACTATATAAACTAGAATTGTGGTAGGTGGCTTGCATTTTTAGTAGGCTAGCGCAACACTCGTCTCGCCTCATATTTGTCTAACAGTTTTGTTAAGTGTTGTTGTAGAAATTTTTAATAGACTATTCACCCCCCTTAGCCATTAGGACCTTTCAAGTGGTATCAGAGCCATGGTCACCATGATTTGAGGCTTAACAACCTTCGGTGTAAAAATAGTTCAAATCAACAACACAAAGAAACCACCCTAATTTAATGGCTCCAACTAGTTTGCAAGCTTCAAAATGAAGGAGGATGAGAATGTGCCGGAGATGTTCCATAGGCTTCAAATGTTTGTCAATGATCTCAAAGCACTTGGAGAAGAGATAAAAGACAAGGACTTCTCTCATAAGTTCTTAAGATGCTTACCCTCAAGATTTGGCACATTGGTCACTATTCTAGTGAGGAGTGGTTTGGACACCATGACACCAAACCAAGCGTTGGGAGATATAATGACCGATGACACATATATAGATGATGATGAGAAGGAAGAAAAGAAGGAGAAAAAAGATGAGAAGAAGGATGAGAAGAAGAAGAGTGTGGCGTTCAATGCCACATCATCAAAGGGCAAGGCAAAGCAAGAATCATCAAGTAAAGATGAAGAATACACCCCTCCTCTTCACCCATAAAAGGAGGACCCCTCCCCTCCTCATAGTCATCAATCATCAACACAAGATACACAATATAGCAAGAAGAGGAGGAGCCCTACTTTCATATCTTAGCTCTTTAGTATAGGGAGTGAGTAAGGAAGAGAAAGAGATGGAGAAGTAACGGAATTGTCAGCTACCTCCATTTGTGTACTTAGGGCCCCTTGTACACATAGCGGAAGGAATGCCGAGAATGTCGGCTCCCTCTTCACTTGTACCTCGACGAATCTAGTACTATTTGGAGTGCAAAAGTTCGTGTTCCTCTACGGTGGTGAGCTCTTACTTTAAGTTAGTCTTGTTTACTATTTACTTACGGGTTGGTCGTCCGTCTCCATGGTGGATACTCTAGTAGAGGGCAACTGATAAAGACGGATAATCCTGTACATCGCTAGAGTAGTAGTCGATAGCGTAGACGTGGTGTCTAGGCTAGAGGCTACCTTCGTTTGCCTCGTTCCCTACGGTTGAGGGGTAGGCGACAGGTGGTGACAGCACTGTTCGTCCCTTGTAATCCCCCACGTTCAGGTTCGGCATAGAGCTGGAAGCCGGAGGTACTTGGCGACCAAGTATAAGCCGGTGCTCGAAGCAAGTCTATAATTGTAATACCCTAAAAATTGATTTCTCAAATTTAGTAATTAAATTGAGCATTTATTTAATTTTTGTGCATTTAATGTAGGATAAACAATAATTTTTTGTTTAATTAAAATTAATATAATATTTAGAAACTTCTATATTGCATTCCTGCTGTCCGTATCTCTTTATTTGGGTGAAAAATGAATTATAAAATTCGTTTGAGCCTCGAATAGGTGTTGCTCTATTTGTTTTAAAAAAAGAAGTTTAGATTATGTTTTATAAAGTTCTCAAAGAAATATTTTGAGTTTTAAAAGTATTTGATAAAGTAATTTCAATATAATTTTTAAAGTCATAGTCAAACTCTTGTAATCCTTGTTTTGACTAAAGTCTTTTTTTATCTCATGCAAATCTTTGATCATTCATTATCCATATCATATTCTCACCACGTATCACAATTAGTCCTTGAACAAAATAGCCATTGTGTCCATTGCAAAACCCATTTTCCTCTCTCTTTTTTTCTCATATATATATTTCCTTTGTCCATTTATATTTATAATCCTTTGCACGTGATATGACTTTCAGCAAGCAAACACCAACCATGTGTTCACGCCTATAGTGCAGCCCAACAGCCAGCCCACCCGCGTGCCCTCTACCCGCCTCCTCTCTCTGCCACGCAGGCCCAGCCCTCTCTCTTGCTGACAGCAGGGCCCCGCATGTCATCCCCAACCTACAGCATCCTCCCTTCTCTGTTTGGCCGAGCAGAACTCGCTAGCCACCATGAATCCCGGTCGATCTCTCTCCTTTCCCCTTCCTCAGCCCGCAATCAATACTAATAAAACCCCACTAAAGCCCCACCTTCAATCCCCATAACCCCCATCCGTTCGTTCTCTTTTCAATTCCAGAAACCGTCGGCCATTGATGGCTGCAGTCAAGATCCACCGCCGCCTTTCTGATCTCCTCCTCGCTCTATAAAAGCCGCTGGGAAGCACCCCGCTCGCGCGGACCACACCCACATCCACCCCTCCACACCCTGCTCGCCTTCCACCTCTCCAGCGCGGCCGCCAGGATCGAGCAGAGCCCGACGCCGCCATTGCAGAGAGGAGCCTTCCTCTTCCTTGTTCGCCCTATAAAAACTATCCAGGATCACCTCGCGCGTGCGCCGTATCCACCCTGCTCATCCAGTGCCTCCTCGCTTGCCTCAGCAGCACCAATCGCCGCCGCCCGCCATGACCGATGCTCTGGCCGCCGCCTTCATCTTCCTCACCCGTCCGTCTTCGTCACTCCTGTTGGGCTCTACGAGACCGCAGAGGCACGAAGAGACCTCGGAACCGCTTCTTGGTGTCGACGTCTTCCGAGCCTCGCTAGAAGGCGCGATCACGGTCTGCCCACATCTCATCAACAACTGCAGCCATTTAAACCTCTTCCGCCGTCCAGAACCTCGCCAGCGAGCTCGCCGTGGTATTCTTCGCCGGAGCGCCAATCCTCCGTGATCGACGAGGATGCCTGCTGTTGCCGTGTTGCTGTGTTGGCACAAGACGGTTCCTTTCGTTTCAATGCCTGGATTGCCGTCGCAGCTTCGCCGTCACTGCCGCCATCAGAAGCCACCGTACCATCGCACTTCAGAGAGAAGTACATCCTCAATTCATATCCTTTCCATCTTTTACATAGTCGCTGCCATCATTTGACGCTAGCACTCGTTCATATGCGTTTTGTTCCTCGCCGGCAACAACAGTACTAGTTGGGCTGTAGTCATCTTTTGATCAAAGCATGTGATGTGCAATTAACAGTTTCTGAATATGTACACAGTACACGCTTAACAGAATCCAAAAACCCAACACCTGTTAAGCCTTCACAAGTACCAAAATTCAGATATCATCCACGTACCATAATCTTGCCTAGTGAAGACCCTTGCATACATCTTATACATCTTATACCTATGTGCAAGTGCTGGTTTAATCTATGCTCGTATGCATCTACATGTTGTTGACAATCACGCAAGCTAATCCTACAGGCCATATACGTGCAGTTTATACACCTTCTTGATGTCAGCCTGACACCAAGTCGATGCCATATACGTCTTATTTTCCTTCCAGAATATAATCACAGTACATCCACAAATTCCCATGCACCAATATAAATTATGTTCTTTCTCTTTAATCTATCTGATCTGATAATGTCATTAATCTATTTTCTGTTGATAAAAATGAAATAGTTTTGAGGTCCGGATATTTTATATTTTGGTCCCTGTCTTTCGAAAAGTATTTACATATATTCCCATTTTTAATTATAAATAAATGTCTAAAACTTCAAAAACTTGTAACTTTTTAACCATAACTCCGTTTTAGCTTGGTTCTTACGCTCACGAGGTCGTAGCAACGAGTAGTATACGTAAGTAACCTTTATAGTATGCTTTTGTAATGCTTGGTATATTGTTTATAAGTTTATTTGTGATGCTTGTACCGGTTGTTTGCTGACGTTAGAAGGAGCTCTACAAGGATGATCAAGAAGTTTGATAGCAAGCAATTGAAAGGCAAGTGTAACATGAGTTCCCTTGTTAACTAATAATCTTATAATTATTTTCATATGCATGTGTCTAATATGATGAACCCCTAAAGACTTTACCTAGTACTTTTGATATCCTGTATTCCTTGTTTACCTTGGGTTTATGCATATGGGTAGTTGCTTAGTCTGCAATCACCGAACTATATAAAGTTAATCTTAACTAATGGATTATGAAATCAATATTAAAATAATGTTTTTAGCAATATGGATAGAAGGGGGCTTAGAGCATTGGGTCTTTTTGGGTGCTCTAGTCTGCCCTTCGTAAAGACTAAATCCTAAAGCGGCAACCCAGGACTTACAGTACAACCACAAGAACTATATGGCTCTAGTCTTACCTCAGTATCTTGATCTGTTCTAGTTTGTCAGCAGCTTTCCGAAAGGGCAAGAGGGGGTACCATGCTGCTTATGGGCCTTGTCCTACCAAGGTGAGTGCTGGACTAGGATCTATAGTGCCGCTCTTGGATGAAGGTGTCCATGACACTTAGGAGACTAAAACCTTAACGGCTGCTACTCATTAGAACGACCGGTGAAAGGCTTCATAGTGATCCCTGCCGACTTACCTTGGAAGTGAGTCAAGAGGTTGGCCGCCTCGGGCAAAGGGCAATCACGACTCGTGGTGAAAGTGTATAATCTCTGCAGAGTGTAAAACTGGTATATCAGTCGTGCTCACGGACACGAGCAGCCTGGATCCTTTTCGATATAGATGGTTCTATGGATGGTTCGGGTGATGATTAATTTTGATGTTAATTATACTTTCACCTTGGGAGCTTAAGCATAACCTAGAAACATAGGTTTAATAAATAAAATTGACCTACTAAAAATGCTTACCGTAGTTCAGCCGTGTCTAGCCTTTTGAGCATTGCATCCCCTCATGTTATACTTGCTGAGTATGGTGCGCTCACACTTGCTTTACAATTAACAAAAATCTCAGATGGGTACCAGATGGTGAATCAAGTGAAGAGTTTCTTGAGGGTCCATGAGTACTAGACGAGTGCTTTCCTCAGTCAACCGTCCTTGTGGAGTATGGAGACCCAAAGAAAGTTATAGAATAGTTTCGCTATGCTTTTGTAATAAATGTAAGTCTTGTTGTAACTATGTTTCAATATGTAATAAAACATTGTTCTTGATATTCTCTATATTTGTCGCTATATGTGTCGTGTGGATATCCTGGACACACATATAGTTAGCGCTTGGTATTCTTCGGAAAACCGGGTGCGACAATAGCAATGTTTTCAGGACCGCTGGTCGAGCCTGGACGCCTGAGGACCGTCCAGGACGTCCAGGACGATTAGTCGTCGTCCAGGACGATTAATCGACCCTGGACGAGTCCCCCTGGTCGTCCCGGTCGTCCCCTACATATGGAGACTGATATATACCATATATATATATTATATAGTTATATATACAGTATAAAATATATACCATATATATATATATATACACACACACACTAGTATACTACATGTTCTAGGCTCTACTGCTCTAGATAGATAGGTCAGCTGGCCACTTATTTGGCTGCTGCAGAGCCCTTTCTTGTCTTGTTGGCTGCTGCTGCCAAATTGAAATTATAGAAAAATAAAGCACATTAACAAAGGCAATTAGGTGAAAGGCAATGAAGTGATCAACAAAGCAAATTAACACGGTAAAGCACATAATTTAAACGATTGTAGAAGCGCGCATAGTGCATAGTGGCATAGTGGCACGCCATAGTGCATCTTGCATAGTGCATACATCAAGTCCGATTACATAAATAGGCAAAATGGCCAATAATAAGAACTACTCAAGTAAATCAGCATCTACATGAAAGCCTCCTCCATCTCCACGGGTGTCTTCATCCTCCTCCATTGGTACCACAGGATCAGATGCATGTTGATCTTCTTGGGCATCATGGTCACTATCATCTTCTTCCCTCCGATATATATCTGGTGCGAGAGAAGTCCTCCCAGACGCTTCTTGTTCCTAGTATAAATCTTTCGGACATTGGCTTTAAGACCTTTGGTAGCAGCAGACCCTATGCAAATTACGACTCCTTAGATTCTCGGATGCACCAATAACTTCATCCACAACAGCCCAAGGCACCTCCTTAGAATTCTCATCCACCCATTCACTATCCCACTGAAACTCTTCTAGCAAGAGAGGGTTGCTCCTATTTCCTTTGCAACCAAGTTCTCGATTTTTTTAAAACTTGTTTGTCATCTTTTTGTTGTAACTGACATAAACCAATTTGTTTAACCTCTTGTGCTCTAATCTATTCCTCTTTTTGGTGTGGATCTGCAGAAAAAAAAATTAACATGAGAACGTCACATTGATCTACAATTTGCAACAACACTAACACTCTAGCAATGATACTTACACTAGAGAATTCACTCATTCTCGCTCACAACTTTGATGCTCAAAGAAGAAAGACCTGATTATTTTCTTTGCTAAACATTGTAGTTCAAATGTATGGCCACCATAGGAACACCACCACCAAACTGAAACACAATTAGACTACAATTAGCACATAGCCAAATAGAATCAGCACAATAGAAGGAAAGAAAATGTTCTAAACTTACTAGGGTTCTTTTTCTCTCTATCCCTTATAGCTAAACGCATTGAGAAGCCTTCGTCTTCGGATTGTTCATAGTCATCAGCTTGCTGCGAAATCTTGGTTGACACATCGTCATCAGTCAATATTTTCCATAGAACTTGATTGAACATGCCTCTTAACCTTCCAGCTTGTCTCTTATCTTTCTCCCTTATGGCAAAGAACTTGCTTGGATTCAAGAAAAGGGCTGCCCCATATAGCTTTTGCTCCATTTGGGTTTCCCACCTCTTATCATATAACACCATTACCTCGGCAAGTAAATTGGGTTTATCTTTTAGAGATTCTTTTATGGTGTTTTTTGCAACATCCATAGCTGCAGTGATCTCAGGAGCTGCTGATGTCTCATCTCCATCTACAATCCGTAGAGCAATGAGAAGTGGCTGTGAAGCTTTCAAGCAATATTCCAATTTAGTCCAAAATGGCGCAAACAAGATAATATCCTCAACTCGTTTGCCTTCAGTAGACAAAGATAGGGGATTATTGTGCCATTCCTCGCTGACAACTAAAGCTCTCAAGCCATTCTTATTTTTATACATACTTGCCAAAGTGAGATAAGAGGTAGCAAACCGAGTCATAGCTGGCCTCACAAGATCCCCACCTATTTGTTGTCTCATTAGATTAAGTATCCTCCCATGCTTGTATAGAAATCTGCTCACCTTCTTTGTTGAATTTATGATAGTGTTCAACTCCTTAATCTCTCCAATGTCTTACAGCAGCAAATTCAGGCAATGGGCAGCACAAGGTGTCCAAAACAAGTACGGGATCCTGTCCATTAAAATCATTCCCGCTGCCTTGAAGTTGGACCCATTGTCTGTGACAACCTGCACCACATATTCCCTTCCAATCTTGTCAATTTGCCTCTCCAACAAATCTGCTAGCATATCCTTATCACCTACCTCACTTGATGCATCCACTGAACCTAGGAAGAAGGTCCCTACTGGACTGTTTGCAAGAAAATTGATTAGATGACGATGGCTAGTATCTGTCCAACCATCAGACATGAGAGTGCAACCATACTCTTTCCAAGCTTCCTCATGCTTCTTTCTCAGTTCTGTTGTCTTGTTGATAGCCCTATCTAACAATGGCTCCCTAATTTCATGCATGGATGGTGAGCGGTACCCAGGTCCATACTGTCCAATTGATTCAAGCATAATCTCCCAGCTTCTTGAGTTAATGACATTGAATGGTATATGATTTTCATAAAAGAAATTAGCTATATGGTCATCAACAACTTGTTTGTTCTCTTTCTTTGTGCAATGCTCTAGAGTAGGCTGAGAAGTCTTGAATTTGTGCCTTTCTGAAACTATCTCTTCTGGTGTCTTCCGAAGCATGGCAACAACTGACTTGGTGTTCTTTTGATTTGCTGGTTTAGATGAACCAGCAGCAGCCATATAGGCAGCGATGGAAGCTTGAGCTATTTTCTTCTTTTCTTGTGCTTGCTTCTGCTTGGTCTTTGTCCCAGAACTAGGCACTTTCTCTAGTTCAACTTCAGTAACTTCATCACCTTCACCCTCTTCAGAATCTTGTTGAACTTCAGGAACTACCACAACTGCAGACCTTGTATGCTTCTTGATGTAAGCATCCATCTCTCTAGCAATAATCTCAGGGCAACTTCCACATTTAATTGCATCACCATAACCTCCAGCAAGGTGTTGTTTGAACCTACTGATTCCTAATGGAGTTATCTTCTTACAAAAAATACATTGCACACTGTCCTTCTTTGCAATATCTGGCCACCACCCATACTTCCATCCAGGGTCTCAAGATTTGGCCTTCCTCTTGGGATCTTTGGCTTCAACAGCCATTTCTGGAGGTAGTTTTGCTATGGCCTTCTCAATAAGAGATGCAACATCTAGAGCAGCTGAGGATGCTGAACCAGCAACAGCTGAGCCTGAGGCAACTGAGGAGGCTGGAGCAGAACCAACTTCTCCTTGAACGGCTTTAGGCATGTACACTTCCACTACACGCTGCCGCTGTCGATCCAGATCTACACAAGTACACAGAGAAAGAGAGCATAAGCTTCAAGCACAGGTAGAGCATCAAGCTTGAACGAGGAGGTGATGACTAATGACTGACCTGAGGAGGAGGAACTCATCTTCGTCGTGCAGTCCTCCTACCTTGCACAGTTGGACCTGTGCACCCGCTAGATCTGTAGGCCTGCACGCCTGCAACAGCAGCCACAAGGAAGAGGGAGGGCAGCTGGAAGGGAGGGAGGAGAGGGAGCAGCTAGGAACTGGAAGGGAGGAGAGGAGAGGGAGCTACAGAACTGCAGCAATGGAGGCGGCTGCTGCTGCTGGATGGGAGAGGTGAGAGGAGTGAGTGTGTTCTGCTGACTTCTGAGTGAGTGAGAGGCTGAGGGAGTGAGGGGTAGGAAAGAAGAGAAACCCTAATGAGCTTGGGCCAAAATATAAGACAACTAGATAGGCCCAACTCTGAGATGCAGCCCACTCTCTGGCTGGACGCCCACACAGCCTGGATGGACGATTAATCGCGACTAGACGATGACTAATCGGACGTTCAATTTCCTGGATGGTCTGGCCGAGTCGGAGGCCCTGGTCGAGTAGCTCCAACCGTCCAGGACGATTAGTCGTGATTAATCGCGATTAATCGGACGTCTTGAAAACATTGGACAATAGTGGCAAAGCTATCTTAGTTTAGGATCTCTATCCCTAGAAAACCTCGCTACCCGAGCTGTCTTTCTTCCTGTTACCTTGGGTAAACTAGCTAAGAGACTTCTACACATCCGTTCCTCATGGAAATACGATACCCTGAATACTTTCGGGTGAAATGCTACAACGGTAATTTCGTACGCTTGCAGATCATTTCTGTATGCATTAAGAAATACCAACAAGCATTTATGGCGTTGTTGTCGAGGAACGGTTGTCGTAATTATCTCTGAACCTAGTTCACCTGTGTATCCTTGTGTTTTATCTTTCTTTTCAAAAAAATAGTATTCATTTTATTCTCACCATGAAGCCCTTCAATTCAAAACCTTTCTGCTCCTAAGGACGAGTTCTTAGAGCCACCACCATGGAAGCCAATCACAGCTTCTGGCTATGAACTCCGTCCTGGCTTTATAGCAAGGGTTTGGGAACAAACCTTCTCCGATTAAGTTTACGAAAACTCTTGCCATCATCTATAGGAGTTTTGAGCAGCTCAGTGCGTGCTTGATAGTCTCAGGCGTGACACAAGAAAACCTTCGGTAGAAGTCATTTTCCTTCTTTTGAAAAGGTAAAACAACCTCCACTCACAACGTTGGGAAGGTAAATAGAGATTGGGAAGAATTGAGGAACATATTCTGTTTTGCATTCTTCCCTATATCTCAAATCGCTTCCCGGTGACAAGAGATTCTCACCTCCCGCCAACATGAGAGGGAAACCATAGGTGCAGCATGGGCTAGATTTTCAATCTTAACACACTATAGCCCAGCCTTGTCTATACCAGACCATGTGTTGTTACAGCACTTTTGGTCAAGTCTTAACAAGGAATCTGCCCTATAGTTTGATATCATTACCGGAGGGTCCCTTGACCACAAAACCTTAGCGGATGGAGAAGCGCTTCTAGATCACATCCTAGAAAACACTCTTTCTATCGAATCCCTCCGTGTAGACCTGAATCAAGCCATGAGGAAGTCTCTTCGGCTGAGGCCGAGCCAATACCTCCTATCCAGAGACCTTCACCCGAACCGGAAATTCCGGAGGAAGGTTTCCAACCTTCAGGAGTTTCCATTTTTTGAGGACAAACTTTTTCGAATATCTTGGAAATACCTCGAATCAATGAACAAAACCGAGGTTCATTCTGACTTTCACATCTAGCCTCGTTTTTGGTCTTCTCATAGGCTACCCTGAAAAAAAGAAACTTCTTATGGGAGCCTTGATGAAGAGGTTGGGAAAACTGCTTTCACCACGTTTATAACTCACCCAGAAAACCCTATGGCGAAGCATAATCCCAAATCACCAACTTTGGAGACCGTGGAGAAGGTTTTCGCCGTTGAGCATGAGAGTTTGTCTTTCGAGACCCCTTGCGTTTCGTGCTCACTTTTGAAGTCTTCGTAGTTTGTCTCGCTTAGTGCCGCTTGCTTCTATGTAACCACCTCTTGACCTTCATCTTTTAACTTTTAAAGATGATGGTTGTGGATGCTTTTGTTTTCCACAATTTTTACAAATCCCGTAGAAGCACTGTGTCACTAAACTTGCTGCTTGAGCATTAATGCTAAATGTTTGGTGGTGAAGCTAGGAACTAAACCACCATTGATAGCTGCAAGATGAAGTTCCCGAGGTTAGGCTTATGACCATAAACTAAGCACTACCGGGAGATACCCTGGATTATCATAAAAGAAAAAAATACTTATCAATAAAAGCAAGAACATGTTTCAAGTTAGTATGCACCTTCGGGTATTCTTGTCGCTAACCATTTTAGGTTGAGACTAAGAAGAACAAGGGACATACGATACTAGAGAATATGAGAGCTACATCAACTGAAAACCTTGATGCCCTTCGGTGAGGGAATGCACTCAAACAAGAGATTCCGATCTTACATACTTGACTTTTACATAAAAGTCCAAGTGTGGGGGAGGATGGTGAGAGCCTCACTACAAGTTCCATCCATATCAAAGGCCATCCAAAAAAATAATGATGTTAGCTCTACCTTGCAATATAAAAAAAGAGAAGAAAAAAGATCTATAAAGAAAAAGAAAAAAGAAAGAAAATGGGGCTGAAAAAAAGAAAAAAATAAATATATGAGATATATATAAAAAACGAAAAAGAACAAGAGAGGGAAGGAGCAAGCTAGCCCCACATAGCCACCACAAAACATAAAAGTGCCGCCTAACTCCATCAAGAATTCTCCTCTTCTATACCTTTGTTGTTTACCACCAAGGCCCATGGTCGATACACACTTGTTGTGTGTGTGGCCTAGCATTGGTGCTAACCAGAGATGGACCTTCTACAATCAAGCCGTTGCTACAGCAGCTCCAAAGCTTCCATCTACGAATGCAGCCGGTAAGAATACTCACGTATGCAAAGGTAAATAAAAGTTCACCAACTCCTTCACTCTTAGTTATCTCCATTAAAACTTGATCATTCAAATTCACGCTTCCCTTGTTTATGATATATGCTCTGGTTTGAATGTAGTCACATAGGCCTGTGTGGCACATTCATAGGCTTTTTAAATTAAGTATGGTGCTTAGGTTAAAATAGCATTCTTTAATCAAAATTTGACATGGTGTTGAATTTTGATTAATGAACTTGGAGTATTATTTCCATAAACAATAGAAGTAATCTATGATGGAGATAAAACAAGGCTAGGAATACTTTACATTTTTCACCTCAGCCTTGTATGAGTTTTTCTAAAAAATAATATAATAATAAAAAGTTGGTGAACAAGTAAAATAATAATAATAATAAATAATAATGAAAGCATAAAACAAACTACAATAATAAAATAATAATAATAAATATAATAATAAAATAAAATTTAGGCTCCCTAGTATTTCAACTAGAAGAGCCCTTGTTGGTTTTTGTTTTGCTATTCAATAAAGCAGGTACAAAAATAAGTGTGGGGGAGATCTATCAAGCAGAACAACCACACATTCGAGATCTCCCCCCACATGTTGCACAACATCAAGCAATCATCATGCAGAAGGACAGGACAAATAGCTTTAGAAAGGATTGGCTAAACCTCTGGTTTAGTCAGACCACATCTGAATCCCTTAAACTCCTTTCTCTACAACGATGGTTTGTGCAACACTATCCTCACTCTCTACATTAAGAAAGATTAAAATTAAATTTATTCAAAATATAAAACAGACGACACTCCATCTCCATGCTATCCTTTGATGAGAAGTTTGCATACTCTTTATTCCTTGCTAACATTTCTATCATTTGTGAACAACTATCATAGGGACCCCATGTTATCTAAGTAATTGGAATATGAGATATAGTAGGATGAAAATGAAACTTGCTCACTTTTGTAAAGTACTTGGGATTTATTTATAAAATCAAAATCTCAATTAGCATGCTCCTCAAATGATTATAATTCCTACCAAGGCCATATGACAACATTCCATGATACAAAGCCTTAGTCATATGCTGCTTGTTATCACATTAAGTTTTGTCAAATTGTTGTGACCCTTGTTGAGATTCTCATCATACACCCATGATCAAGATTCATGTACACCCACATATAAAATGCTAACTCTTACACTGAGAGTTACGCAAAAACATGTTTTTTTTCTGTCCACTAAATAAAAATACTCCATTCATATGACATGAATCTCTCTCTCAAAAGTTTTCATGTGCCAAACGAAAGTATGGGCTATGCTAAAAAAGAAAGAGGAGAGAAAATATCCATGCCAAAAGAGCATGAGAAAAAAAAATGCAAAGAGCATGAATAATCCCATGCTAAAAAGCATGAAGAAAAGAAAAAAGAGAGGAGAAAGATAGCCCATACTTTCAAATAAAAGGCAACCATCAAGAGAGAGAGAGTCATGCACAAAGGAGTTTAGAATTTTAGGAAAATTTAAAATTACCACACACTTGCACAATCTTGATCAATGTGTATGACTTGCATCTCCTTGGATCCGGTT